GCTGTTCAAATCTCACCGGCTCAGGGTTGACTCAGCCTTCCATCCTTCTGAGGTGGGTAAAATGAGGACCCGGATTGTTGGGGGCAATATGCTGAAAGCCCTATGAAGCGGTATATAAGTCTAACTGCTATTGCTATTGCTATTACCTATAAGGTCCCTTCCAATTTTGTTATTCTGTAAGTGGAACAGAATGACTATAGGGAAATTAGCCGATCTTTGGAGGGTTTTTTTTAAACCGAATTTGTTTTGCTTTTGAACATAGGACTACTATCAAAATAAACTAAAGCTAGCTTTAATAGGACAGAGCCTGTTTGGGCAAGAGGTCTACAAGCATTTGCAAAAAGAAGGACACAAAGTGGTTGGAGTGTTCACAGTCCCGGATAAAAATGGGAAAGCGGATCCATTGGGTAAGTAGATAAGCACTAATGGCTACAATAGGAACCGGGCAGCATTTGATGCAGAATCAATTGAACTTTTCTTATGTTCTAGTTCATGTTCTCACACCAACCTCAACGATGCCTGAACCCATGTGGCTTAGACATCCGAGAGTAAAGGCCACTTGTTCTGACTCAGCTCCCCAAACACAACAAAACCTCTGCAGCAGTGGTGGGTTGCAGGTGGTATGCCCCGGTACAAGCGTACCGGTGCCTGCCCGGAGCACCAGGTACAGTTCTGGTACATTGCTCTGGAGGGCCTGCCCTTTGTCCTTTAAACTCTTAGGTGCTTCCGTACAAGGCACGAACAGTGCCTGCACAACGCTCTGCTGAGCAGCTGGAGCATTGCAGAAGCGTCACTGGAGGGTAAGACGCATGTGCATGCTGTGCGTGTGCACGCATTCGGTGCATGTGTACATGTGGAGGACACCGGGCCCAGTTGTAACCATACCGGTTGCAACAGGATCCTAAACCCACCACTGCTCTGCAGTTAACTCAAAGATTCCTGTATTAGGAGCACCACCAGCCCCAGCAAAAAGTTTCTCTCTCACCGCAGGCAAACAAGTCTGTCTGGCAGGGGGATGAATAGTTGTCTGTCGCATCTATTTATCTCAGCCCCCTGCCTTTTATCCCCAGAGCTAGGGTGAAGCTTCACTAGCAGCAGCAGCTTTTCCTTCCCAAAGATCAGCCCGGGGATTTCCACTGCTCTCCTCTCCTCTGCCTTCTGCACATCCACGTGTCAGGCACTGGACACAGCTGTTCCTCCCCTTCTTCATCAGCTACCTCCAGACCTGGGGGCTGTTGACTCTCCATCTGAGGACTGACAGACGGCCCAGGCTCTGCCTCTGTCTCTCTGCCAGCTCCATTCCCTCTTCCCTCTTGGAGCTCTCAGGTTGCCTTGATGCTGACCCTGACTCCCACGCCTCCTCCTCTTCTGATTTGGGTGCTGGAGAGGCTGGCGGCCGACAAGCCACAACACCGCTGTGATATTAAAGTAAGATGCAAGAGTGCAGGCTTTCTTGGCTATAGTGCTACTGTGATATCTGAATGGGATCTTGATATGTTCCTACATACGGTTTTTGCATGTATTTAGTTAGTTGAGAATGTATTGCTGCAGGAGTTAAGGTGCTAGGCTAGAAGCAGGGAGACTGAATTCTAGGCACAAAGCCTCTGGGTAACCTTGGGCCAGTCATTCACTCTCAGCCCTAGAAAGAAGTCCTTGACTTACAACTGTTTGTTTAGCAAACTCTCAGGGTTCCAAATAACATTCAAAATTAAATCAGCGTCCAAGGCAAAGTATTGCTCTACGTTCCAATTTATTAAGATAGTCATGTTGGCACATCCGGGAAAACCCAAATCAGAGCTTCCTGAGTTTTCCCCACCCAGTTGAAAGTTGATGATCTTGCCCCACACCCACAAGTCCATCACATGGTCCAATCT